CGACCCTTCGGCGACTCGCCAAGTGGACTCAGCGATCCTCAGGACTTCATTTCTTTGTTCTCTTCAGCCTTTTTGTTCCTTTTTTCGACATAATGTCCATGATTTCCTTTAAACTTCAAATACCTGAAACTTAATGGTTTTCATAAGATATTGAGACAAAATAAGCATTTGAGGACCCAACTTCTATTAAAATATAGCCCTAAATGAGTCCAATTTACTAACTCATCAACACCCCCAACTTAAACTTTTGCTTGTCCTCAAGTTCAGCAGTTCAACAAGGATGTCTCAAACAGTGCTACACAAGACTCAATTATGAATTTACACAACAAGACTCAATTTACTTATGCAAGGGTCAATTGTGTACTCAAAGATTCAAGTTGTGCCACAACATTTCCAAAGATTCTTAAGCTCCCAATACTTGCTTCAAATGCAAGTTCAAGCTCAACAAAAGACTTTGAATGCCCTCACATAAATGATGATTCCATTTTGATACGCAAACGTATAATCAATTTAAAGTTCAGGAATTAGATACAACACTCACACTAACAAAGATGAACACAATGCATGCTTTCACGCATAGGTTTGCCCGTATTTTCCAATCAACACTTGTTTCGACTTTCTCAGGATCACAAATGTCTAAACAAGGCCTGTAACGGGGTAGACTGCAAAGGTATGGTCATTTAGGCTCAATGACTTTTATCCTCATGAAATGTGGTGCTCTCAACACTTCCTTTCCTTTTTCCTTGATAATTTCATTAGTGCATTATAGGTCATCCTATTATTCGCTTCTCATGGGTTTTTCGGAACACTATTTATTTGGTACTTTATTCCACGACTTTTTTTTTATATTGAAGGGTTCCATTGTTTATCAACACCATGGGTTAAAGGTGACTTTCTTTGCATTTTTTTACTTTCCCTTTTCATTTTAACCGTACCCCCAACTTAGGCTTTTGGTCTAAGTTGGCTATTCAATTAACCACAATTCAAGAGGATTATAGGTAATGGATTAAGAAAGGTCTAGTTCTCATCAAGTTTCTTCCAAAGAAGGGTAAGGCTCAAAGGGTGTTCAAGAGAGAATCACACACTCACAGGGTAGGACACAAAAGAGGTATATGTCAAATTTGTTCACACTCTTCGAAGTTGCCTAAGATCATATCAAGAGAAAGTCTTACATAGTCAACCGGACCAATAGGGAAAATTCTAGGTTTTGTCATGCATGGTTCCAGGTAAGGATATCACACAAGACATCGACACTTAAGTCAAACAAGATTCCACTCTTTTGCTAGTGTGGAACGGTCATCACAAGAGAATCGATTTGATAAATGGTTAATCACAATGAGATGCAAAGAATTCACATATTGTCTATGCAACTTCATTTGGCCTCATCATAGCCGTACATTCATATTCGTTCGATTGTAGGCACTATTAAAGTTATTGGTATTGATTGAAACCGAGAGTCAAATTTGCCAAGGAACAGCCACATTCACGAGCATATAAAGGGTGGCAAAAATGTGCTAAAAATTCAAAAAAATTTGAAAGGGTCAATCTCATTTTGCAATTTAAAATAAAACGAGCCATAAGCTCAAACATCCACAGAAAAGCAGTATTAACACAATTTTAAAACAGAACAGCCCAAGTATATACATAAAAGCACGAGTCACAAATAACACACAAAAGGTGGTGAGCCTCACCCCACCACAATTAAAAAGCAGTCCTCAAATGCAAATAACAAACATCTGAAAATACAAATAGAGAAAATTAGGGACAGAGGCAAAGGATAATCCTGGTTAATCAGTTACTTCATCTGTCGGGGAGGCATGGTTATTCTTGTGACTTTGTGCCGCAAATCTAATAATTGTTCGACACTTAAAACTACACATCTAACTAGAATTTATAGTTTTCATAGATTTGTGCTGCAGCGGATCATTCGACGTCGTTAGTCGGAATCGTCGATCAACTCGGCGATTTGCCCTTTGGTGTAGTTCATCGCCGTCTTGCACTAGCCTTCATCGTCATCATGCTCTGGGTCATTGGGCGACATGGTACTACTTCGCAAAACTTCTCGGTGATGCGTCGACTGCTCCCTTTTTGCACCGACTTGATCCTTTCCTTCAGGGCTTAGCACACTAGAACAAAAGGCGAAGTACGACCCTTCGACGATTCACCAAGTGGACTCGGCGATCCTCAGACCTTCATTTCTTCATTTTTTCAGCCTTTTTGTTTATTTTTACGACATAGTGTCCATGTTTTCCTTCAAACTTGAAATACCTAAAATTTAAGGGTTTTCATCAGATATTGAGATAAAATAAGCATTCGAGGATAGAATTTCTATTTAAAATATTGCCCTAAATGAGTCCAATTTGTGGACTCATCAGTGCTCTTATCCATTATCTCAGCTCGTGGTACCTAATTTACTTCTCAGTTTTGAAATCTTTCCAAAAGGGTCTTGGTACTCGTCTTAAGCTTAGTACGACCTTTCATCCACAAACCGATGGGAAAGTAGAGCATATTATCCAAATATTAGAAGATATGCTGAGAGAATGTGTGATTGACTTCAAGGGTAATTAAGATGATCACTTTCCTTTAATTGAGTTTGCATATAACAATAGCTATCACTCAAGTATTAGTATGGCTCCAATTGAGGCGCTTTATTGTAGGAGGTTTAGGTCTCCTATAGGTTGGTTTAAGGTGGGTGAAGTTGCTTTGATAGGTCCCGAGTTGGTACATCATGATATGGAGAAAGTTTGACTTACTAGAGTAAAGTTGAAAATAGCTCAAAGTTGACAAAAGTCCTATGCCGATGTTAGAAGAAGAGATCTTGATTTTGATATATGTTCATGATTGGGTCTACTTGAAAATTTCACCCATGAAGGGTGTAATGATATTCAGGAGAAAGGGAAGCTTAGTCCCCAATATGTAGGCCCATACTAGATTTTGAGGTGAGTTGGCAAGGTTGCTTATGAACTTGCATTGCCTAATGAATTGGCATTGGTACACCTAGTTTTCCATGTTTCATTGTTGAAAAGTGTGTTGGAGATCCAACATCTATTATTTCCTTAGAAGGCTTGGAAGTTAAGGAGAATATTTCATACGCGGAAGTTCTGGTTGAGATTTTAGACTGGGAAGTCAAGAAGTTGAGAAACAAAGAAGTTGCTTTCGTAAAAGTTCTTTGGAGGAATCCGCTAGTTGAGGGTGCTACTTGGGAGGCCGAGGGTGATATGATGTCCCGTTATCCTCATCTCTTTCCTTCCATCCCTACACAAGCTTGATGTATTTAGTTCCTCATGGTTTGCTCATTAGGTGTCATGTGTCTTAGATATTCCCATGATTACCTCAGTATGCATGATTTATGAAAAGTTTAAATTTTGAGAAAATTAGTTACTTGATTGATTTCTACATGTTTATGCGCATTTGAGTATGAGTTGCATATAAACTTCATGATATGATGTTTTGAACATGCTTTAGCTTGGAGTTGATGTTTCCTCCTCGGATATGTGCACATATATGATTTCATACATTTTGGGCTATTAGATTTAAGTTCCTAATTTCCTTATGATGTCTCGAATCTCATTCGAGGACTAATGTTCACAAGGGAGAGATAATATAAAACCTCATGAAAATTTAGTTTTTAAGAAATTTAGTGTCAGTTCCTACGGTGCCATCCACGGCCCGTGGAACGACCCACAGATCGTAGGTCATGTTCATGGCTGGCCAGGCAAGTCTTCCAAAATTTTCAAGTTCCAGTACTTTTTCAACGGTCCAACATGCTAGACCGACTGTAGTCATTTAAAATTTATTAAATATAAATTTATTAAATGATTCGTATTATATTAAATTCATGAAGATATTAGTCCAATTAAATATTATGGATTAATATAATTGAGTTAATTATTTAAATTCAATAAATATGTATTTAATTAAAGCCCTCTCCATAAAGCACGTATGCCATGTCACTTAAAATCTGATTGGCCAAATGGAGTCCTTTTCCAATCACAACTCCTCTATTTTTAAACTATAAATAGGGGTCCTTATAATTTAGAAAAGGAATGAAGAATTCTAACAAGAAGCTATAGAATTCTCATGGATTAAAATCCACATATTTCTCTAAAAGTTCAAGAAATCTAACAAGAAGCTAGAGAAAGCTCGTGGATCAAAAGCCACAAATTTCTCTACAAGTTTAAAAATTCAAGATTAACAGCGTTTAAGTTCAAGAACGATCAAGCTCAAGACCGTTGGATTTAAGGTCAAGCTCGAAGCCCTAGGATTCAACTAGACGTCAAGATCAAGATAAAGTTCAAGTTCAAGAATGATCAAAATCAAGACCGCCAGATTCAAGATCAAGCTCGAAACCCTTGGATTCAACTAGAAGTCAAGATCAAGATAAATTTCAAGTTGAAGAATGATCAAAATCAAGACCGTCGGATTCAAGATCAAGCTCGAAGCCCTTGGCTTCAACTAGAAGTCAAGATCAAGAAAAAGTTCAAGAACGATCAAGATCAAGACCATCAGATTCAAGATCAAGCTCAAAACCCTTGGATTCAACTAGAAGTCAAGATCAAGATGAAGTTCAAGTTCAAGAACGATCAAGATCAAGGCCGCCGGATTCAAGATCGAGCTCGAAGCCCTTAGATTCAAGTAGAAGTCAAGATCAAGATAAAGTTTAAGTTCAAGAACGATCAAGATCAGGACCACCAGATTGAAGATCAAGCTCGAAGCCCTTGAAATCAACTAGAAGTCAAGTTCAAGTTCAAGATCAAGTTCGAGTTCAAGTTCAAGATATAGCCTGGAGCCCTTGAAATTATATCCAAAAAGGAGAATTCAGAGGAATCATAGAGATTGTAACACTTGCACTTTAAATCAATAAAACGACTATTGCAATACTTTTCCATTGTTGATTCTTATTATCACAACGCAAAATTTTATTGTCTACAATTTTGGCACCCCTAATGGGACAATCTTTACCTCTCATCTTAACTTTTCAAGCATCAAATAATATCAAAATGTCTTCCACTATAGAAGAACAACTAGCAAGCTTAACTAAAGCAATTGAAGGTCTGGAAAAATGCGCATACGAACAAGATGCTAAACTTTCCAAGCTAAAAAATAGGATGGATGACATGATTGAGAGAATATCAAGTCAAGCACCTCTAAAGCTTCGTAAAATTCAAGACAAAGGAGAGTCATGTGTAAAGCAAACAAAGATCAAAGAGATTAATCTATCTGCTAAAGGTTTGATTTCCATTGATCAATTGAAAGACTTTATCTTAGAGGCTATCGAAGAAAAATTTGAGTCTTCATCCAAATTTTATACCACGTATGCAAAGCAATATACAAAAAGGATTGATAACTTGAAAATGCCTGAGGGCTATCAACTTCCTAAGCTTTAACAATTTAATGGTATAGGAAATCCCAAACAACATATAGCGCACACTATCGAGACTTGCTATGATGCCGGAACATATGGTGATTATTCTGTTAAAGAGTTAGTTCGATCTCTGAAAGAAAAGGCATTTGACTGGTACACTGATCTTGAACCTAATTCTATAGATCTTTGGGAGCAGTTAGTGTAGGAGTTCCTTAATCATTTCTATAGCACAAGATGCGTCGTTAGTATGATTGAACTTACAAAGGCTCGTCAAGGTGAAGATGAACTAGTTGTTGACTTTATCAATCGCTGGAGAAGTTTGAACCTCAACTGCAAAGATCACCTTAGTGAAACTTCTAGCATTGAAATGTGCATCCAAGGCATGAATTGGGGTCTTTGCTACATTTTGCAAGGATTAAAGCCCAATACATTTGAAGAGTTGGCAACTCGTGCACATGACATGGAATTAAGCACGACTTTAAGAGAAGATCAATGATCTCATTTCTATGAACCTCGTGAAGATAAAGATATAGAAGATCTCCAAAGTGGGGGCAGGTCTGCATCTGAAGATGACTTTGAAGAGTCAATATATATCTAAACGCTCCTAGACGCATGAGTCTAAACTGGATATCACAAACCTCTTCAAATTTGAGCTAAATATTCAAGTTGAAATGCTCCTAGACACATGAGGCTAAATTGCATATCCCTCTTCAAATTTGAGTTAAATATTCAAGTTGAAACACTCCTCGAAACATGAGCTTAAATTGTGTGTCATAAAACTCTTTAAATTTGAGTTAAATCTTCAAGTTGAAATATTTCTTGAAACATGACTTTAAAGGGCTTGTCACAAAGCTCTTCAAATTTGAATTAAATCTTCAAGTTAAAATGCTCCTTGAAATACGAGCTTAAATTGTTTATGTCAAAGCTCTTCCAATCTGAGCTAAATCTTCAAGTTGAAATGCTTCTTGAAGCACGAGCATAAACCGCATATGTCACAAAGCTCTTCAAATTTGAGTTAAATCTTCAAGCTGAAATGCTTCGTGAAACACGAGCTTAAATGGTATGTCACAAAGCTCTTGAAGGTTGATTTAAATCTTCATGTTGAAATGCTTCTTGAAATACAAGCTTAAACTGTATATCTCAAAGCTCTTCTAATTTGAGCTAAATATTAAAGTTGAAATGCTCCTCGAAGCACGAGCTTAAACCGCATATGTCATAAACCTCTTAAAATTTGAGTTAAATCTTCAAGCTAAAATGCTCCTTGAAACACGAGCTTAAAATGTATGTTACAAAGCTCTTCAATTTTGAGTTAAGTCTTCAAGATGAAATGCTCCTTGAAACACGAGCTTAAATTGTATGTCTTAAAGATCTTCCAATTTGAGCTTAATCTTCAAGTTGAAATGCTCCTTCAGACACCAACCTAAATTGTATATCATAAAGCACTTTAAATTTGAGCAAAATCTTCAAGTTAAAATGCTCCTTGAGACACGAGCCTAAACTGTATATCATAAAACTCTTTAAATTTAAGCTAAATCTTCAAGTTAAAATGTTTCTTGAACACGAACCTAAACTATATATGATAAAGCTCTATAAATTTGAGCTAAATCTTCATGTTCAAATGCTCCTTAAGGTACTACTCTAAAATGCATGTTACTACTCCTGACTCGCAAGAATATAAACTGTGTGCGACAAAACAACAAAAAAACAACAAATATCACTCACTTTCCCAGAACTACGTTGTGACTTGATCCTCTTCACTGAGGTACGTAGGCACTTAGAACCATATTCTAAGTTTAGTCTCATGAGTGTCAAAAAATCACATGTTCCCACTTGATCTGTCACAAGAAAGTTATAGTTATGAATAATCTTTCATCAAACTCTGAACATGCACCAAATGGTAGTGACCTGATGGGGGTAAGCCCTTATGAATATAGATTGTCTGAAACTTAAAGTCTTCAAAAAACCTCCATCTCTGCAAGTTGAAGTCTTTAAAATTAGAAAAAAATATCCAAGTCTAGAAGTTGAGGTCTTCAAATCAATCAATTTTGCAAGTTGAAATCTTCAAATTCTTTAACTCCAAGTTGAGGTCTTCAAATTCTGGAAGTCTTTAAACTATCCAATAATGAAAGTTGAAGTCTTTAAATTCTTCAATCTGCAAGTTGAAGTATTCAAATTCTTCAAGCCTAGTATTTGGAAGATAAAAAATCTCGACAGGACTTGAAGAAGGGGGCATTTGTAGTCATTCAAATTTATTAAATATAAATTTATTAAATGATTCATATTATATTAAATTCATGAAGATATTAGTCTAGTTAAGTATTATGGATTAATATAATTGAGTTAATTATTTAAATTCAATAAATATGTATTTAATTAATGCCCGCTCCATAAAGCTAATATGTCATATCACTTAAATCTGATTGGCAGAACAGAGTCTTGTTTCAATCATAGTTCCTCTATTTTAAAACTATAAATAGGGGTCCTTATAATTCAGAATAGGGACGAAGAATTCTAACAAGAAGCTATAGAAGTCTCGTGGATTAAAATCCATAGGGTTCACTACAACTTCAAGAATTCAAACAAGAAGCTACAGAAAGCTCGCGGATAAAAAGCCACATATTTCTCTACAAGTTTAAAAATTCAGAATTTCAAGCGTTCAAGTTCAAGAAAGATCAAGATCAAGATAAAGTTCAAGTTCAAGAACAATCAAAATAAAGACCGTTGGATTCAAGATCAAGCTAGAAGCCCTTGGATTCAACTAGAAGTCATGATCAAGATAAAGATCAAGTTCAAGAACGATCAAGATCAGGACCGACACATTCAAGATCAAGCTCGAAGCCCTTGGATTCAACTAGAAGTCAAGGTCAAGATAAGGTTCAAGTTCAAGAACGATCAAGATCAAGGACGCCGGATTCAACATCAAGCTCGAAGCCCTTGGATTCAACTAGAAGTCAAGATCAAGATAAAGTTCAAGTTCAAGAATGATCAAGATCAAGACCATCAGATTCAAGATCAAGCTCGAAGCCCTTGAAAACAACTATAAGTCAAGTTCAAGTTCAAGACCAAGATCAAGAAAAAGTTCAAGTTCAAGATCAAGTTCAAGACCAAGATCAAGTTCAAGACAAATACAATATTAAGCTTAGAACCCTTGAAATTATAACCAAAAAGGTGAATTCAGAGAAATCTTTAAATCAATAAAATGATTGTTGCGATACTTTTCCGTTCTTAATTATTATTATTATGACTGAAAATTTTATTGTCTACACCATCGTTCAATGCCTGAGCCGTAAATAGGTTTCGTAGGTGAGTCCCAGACTTAGCGAGATTTTGAGACCAAAAGTTATGGACCATGTTTGGGACCCACGACCTGTTGATTGGAGCACCGCCCGTGGGTGGGTCCCGTCATTTGGGGTCCTAATTTTTCAGTCTCTGACACCAAACGACGGACGACCCAGTACGGTCCGTTGGTGGAACCACAGACCATAGGTGTCGTTAGGTCGACAGTTATTTTTTAGGGGATTTTTGGTCTTTCCCTAATTATTCTTGCCTAATACTATGTCAATTTTCCCTACACCAAAACTCCTATATAAGCGTTTTAACCCCCCAAATTTCCTCAATTGAAATCATTCTCTCAAATTCCTAAAAGAAGAACAAGTCTTTCTCTCCAAAATATTTCTCTCTCTATAAAGCTTGAAGAAGAAGGAGTCAACCTAGGGTTTGAATTCAAGCCTCCAATTTCACCATTGAAGGCAAGCTTTTGCGTTGAGGTATGATGGTTTTCATCCATGGAGTTCCTAAATTCTCCAATTTACGAAGTTAGAAATCCCCAATTGAGTTATGGTTTATCCTCCATGTCATGGGTTCCTTTAAATTTTGATTTATTGATTGATTTATCAAATTTTATGCATGAATTGATATAATCATGGTTTTAAGATGAATCCTCATAAACCCATGCTTAACCCATGTTTTCTAGGTATTGATGATTGAATGTGGGTTTTGAACTATGAAGGTGAATTATGGAATTATGCATGTTCTTATTGAATTGATGATATGATGTAGATGGCGTTGAGAGCAATAACATATATGTTGTCGTTGTAGTAAATTGTTGTGAAAGAATTGCACACATGACTATCTCATGCATGAATGTGAAAGGTTTTTCTCGTCTAAAGGATTCTAAGTTTGAAAGGTCTTCTCACCTAAAATAAATCAAAGATAAGGAGCTATTCTAATGAAACCTAGCTTGGATTGGTTACTTAATTGTACCTATCAATAAATGACATATAACTTAGCTTGGATTGGCAAGATGACATGCCCTTCCTTGGATTATAAGAACAAGTTAAGAAAATGACTATTCCGTGGGATTTACACTTCACACAAAGAGGATATTGAGATGGGAGATCTCTCGTTAGTAGAGGTCAGGTTTCTAGAAGCAATCTCATAGATAGACATTAGCTAGTGGATCCACATAAGCTAGAAGTTCATAGTTTTACCTTAGCAAGTAGGACACCTCTTTTCGGAGTGGGGTAGACATAGAATTCTATGTTGATAGCTCACATGGTTTTATATGTCGGTTAAAGGTAAATATCCCACAATAATGACCTAAGGTTACTTCAAGAAGTATCTTACATTTGACTTAAGATGATGTATATTTGCATTGACCGTGTTTTATGACCTATGTCTTCTAATTCTTTTACATTCATAATTTAGCTTGGTTATTTCCCTTTATGAAAATGCCCTTTTTTCGCATGTTTTCAAATGTTTTATGCATGGCTATCATGCTTGGTACATATTTTTTACTAACACATACTCTTGCCTACTTTTCTCCAAATGTAGGGTTCGATAGTCAGGGTTCCAGTTTATTGGCTAGAGTTCTTTGAGGATATTTCGATGTTTGGTGAGTCCTCGTGCTTCTAGGACAGAACATTTATTATTTTTTAGTCTTTCCTTACTTTCTATTTTTGAACTTGATGTACGAGCTACGTCCTAAAAAACTCTTATGTGCTAGATGGCTTTGAGACGATGTTTAGATTTCCACTTTTCTCTATAAAACATTGTTATGTTAAAATTGTCTTTTAAATCTATTTATTCTACTATCTTGGATGATGAATGCAAATTGAATTGTGTGGGCCTCTCAAGGTCTGGTGTAATATAGAAAAATAGAACAAATAAGATCCTGATAGAACAAAACTCAAAGT